AATGCTCACGGCAAGTTTGAACAAAATCTTGAAGCTCAATTTGGCGGGACGTTTCAAGAGTTTAAAGAAAAACCAGAGTACAAAAAAAAGTTTTTTTTTTTGTTATCAATACTAACCTGCAAGATGCGTTTTGGTTAGTCAAAAGACAAAATACATAACAATTAGACTTATTAGCAGTAAAGTAGCTACTAGCAAAAATGCCTCGTACATTGGATTTCGCAGCTCATGAGCTCATACAATAGTCATCGGTAATCCGTACTCTAAAAACCAGCTTCTCTATAGTCTATGCAAAGATTTGTTTAATTGCTAATAAATGTTAAAATCTACATCTAATAATTTAATGGTTGTTTCATGATACATTTTTTTTTTTACCGGGTTAACACGACAGCCTACTGGCCTAGTCACGGGGGCCACCCACTCACCCACCTATGTGTGCGGTGTGTATTGCCACACCCACCTTAAAACCCTTTTCCTTATATTCTACCTGATTATATGGGCACAGTGCAAGTATCTCCGGTGGAACACCTTGCCAGTTAAGCTGACACTCTCTGCACCAATGGTGCACCGGGTCCACTAGCCACTGTGTAGCCTTTCCCCGGAGAGGACTCCATGTTTCAGGGACCACTCCTCACCGGTAAGGCCGGCGATTTTTGACTGGCGCATCAGATCCGCTAATTTCTACCCATTTCGCATTCACTCAGGCCCGAAGACCAGTGGGACAAGGAAAAACGAGGAATTACTCTAAAGGAAAATTCCACGGAAAAACCCGCCCCGAAACAGCTGGGGTTACATAGGAACTTTTCCCGATGAAAACAGTTTTTAAAGTAATCCGCATTACCGGGAATCGAACCCACGACCCCTAGAACTGCGTTGTATCAGTAACAAGCACGCTTACCACTGAGCCAACGCCGCTCTTGAAGTAGATATTATTAAAAAGTATCATACATAGTTATTAAAAAAATGTTTCCTTTGAATTTTAACAATATTTCTGATAGTATTCCGGTGTTAATTTTTGTGATTCAAGTACAGATGTGACATTACTTTTTTAGGCCCAAGTATGGGCTTGATAGGCTATGATTCTAGGGATCGGAGGCAATTGTTTGAATTTATGATGCTAACTAAGAAAAATAGAAACTGAACCGGATAATATTGCTCTGTTATGTTTGGTCGCAGGTCAAGTATCTCCAAGTTTAAGCAGAGAACGAGGATGTATAAACTACATCGAGCGTATCTTCATAACTCTTGACCCTAGTTAATATTTAGGACAGAAATAGTAAGTTCCAGGGAAACATTTGATTTCATCAACTTACTTTCATTAAAAATTTAAGGTAGAGTTCAGAGAAAAGTGTACAGAAGTGTGGTCGTTGAGGAGAGAGAATTACAACGAAAGATCTTATTCTAAGATCGTGAGAGGAGATGGTCCCGACTGTATACATAATAAGGTCATAAATTATAGCAGTTTATTCTAAAAGTAAATCTTTAGTAAATACTTGTACAGAAAATTTCTGAAAAATCACTAAAATTTAAGAATAACGTTAAAAAAGAAATAGTTCCAGCAGTTCGTATTTTCTGGAAAAATATTCAAGGTGCATTATTCGCAAGTTAAAAATCTCATAACATTAACTTGTGAGCATCCGACTACCAAACACCACTGACGGTATGACAACTCTAAGCTTATAGTACTTTACTTTAGGCAAAGAAGCTTTAGAATGCTCAACTTGGGTTCTGTAAAATTTCAATATTTTTTTTTTTAATTTTACATTAATAACCTGTCTTGTTTAATGCACTGAGCAATCCAATTCTTGGAATCAAAGAAAATTTGCGTGTGAGAGTGATGGAGAAGACTGGAATTTCTACAGATCAAACAATAAACATCACTGCACTTACAATAAAAAGTATGTTTATTTAAAGTATATGTTTATTTACAGTGGAAATAGCAAGATAAACGTTAATTTAACATTTCATCGCAGTAACTTTTATAATTCTCTTTGTCTCAGTAAAATACGAAACTTCACTGTCACAAATATTTGTATTCCCTACAAAATTCTATAATCACGAAAAACATAGAAATAAAAAAAAATACAGTTTTCACATGGTCGCAAAATGGTCGTCGTAGTTTTCTCGGTTGCAATACCCTACTGTTGTGAAATTTTTCCGACTGACGTCGCTGTCGGTGGTATTTATATACGATTTGAATCAATAACGAAAGCGCCGTGAACTGGCGGGTAAAAAAATAAGTAGTAAAGCTCGTGGAGGACGCGTAGCGCATGTAACAGACGGAGATTTAACGCTGGAACGTTTCACCATCGCCACCTTGAGAAAATTTTGCTTTCGGAGCTTGTACTTACACACGCAGTGTCGTCTCCGTAACAGCGGCACATTGCAAAATCGCACGCAATAATGCGAAACAAGTGCGGGGCTGAGGGAGAGAAATGAGGAAGGGGCGAAAAACGCGAGCGCCGGAAAATTGTTTTCTTTAACTGGCAAACTGCGTGCTCACTGTTGCAGCCTCGCAAGCTTCTCACTTATATGTACTCTCTTCTTTTTTTCGATCTCCGGAAAAGCAATCTCAACGGCGGCTGCACCGATGCTCCTCGCGCTGGGAAATAAGACAACCGTCTAAATATCAAACGATCGTCGAGGCGACATCAAGCCAACCCCCTCCTCTCTTTCTTTTCTTAGCCTCAGTCGTTATCTTCTTTCATGTGTCTCCTAGCAATTTTTCCGATGCGCTGAGCCTCCTCTTCCATGCAGATCTCTCTTCGCGTTACAATAGACTTTTTTTTTTCTTCGAACAGTGCCTGAGCTATTTTGACGAGGTGAGAGAAATCGCTAGAGAGCACATACGTCTGTAAAAAGATTCCTCATGATTCTCCTTCTTTGCGTCTTCCCATCGAGTTATTATTTGTTAGTTCTACCCTTCGGCTCTCTTTTTCATTCCATACAAACAGATGGGCTACTGTTGCATTAAGAAACTTTTTCTTTGCATCTTATTAGACGTGATTTACTTTTATGGGATGGCTTTCATGAAAAATATCTTTTTTGCTCTCCCTTGAGGTGACTAAAAAACTGGCATTGTTGTTTGACTTTTCAGAGTTCAAAATGCTCACGGCAAGTTTGAACAAAATCTTGAAGCTCAATTTGGCGGGACGTTTCAAGAGTTTAAAGAAAAACCAGAGTACAAAAAAAAGTTTTTTTTTTTGTTATCAATACTAACCTGCAAGATGCGTTTTGGTTAGTCAAAAGACAAAATACATAACAATTAGACTTATTAGCAGTAAAGTAGCTACTAGCAAAAATGCCTCGTACATTGGATTTCGCAGCTCATGAGCTCATACAATAGTCATCGGTAATCCGTACTCTAAAAACCAGCTTCTCTATAGTCTATGCAAAGATTTGTTTAATTGCTAATAAATGTTAAAATCTACATCTAATAATTTAATGGTTGTTTCATGATACTTCGAAATTTACCCGTTGGATATAATACACATGATTAAATCGTGTTAACGAAAAGATCGTACTTTACGTTGCACTTTGCATTTTTTTTATAAAATATATATATTGATTGTCACCTGACCAAAACTTTTTGTTCGTAATTATGATTGCATGGTTAAAGATAATCCTAATCGTGTGATTGGTTCAAAAAGGATTAATTTAAGAGTAAGATTTGGAAAAATAAAAAAAATTGACTTAAAATTTCCAGGTTCGAGGAAAATTATAATGTNAAAAAAAAAAAAAAAAAAAATGTAAACTGAGACTAATTTGAAGAGTGCCTCTATCCATGTATAAGCCTATTATTTTGACGGTATTTATTTAGGGGAAACCGGGGAATGACAAGCTTACTAGGTAACTCTAGCTTTCTTCTGAATGATAAAATATTTTCAATTCAAACCTTGTAAATAACAATTCCTAATGCGATTACTTTTTCCCTCTTCAAGTAAAACACTAAACAATGCAGCGTAAGTTTAATGAAAAACATGTAAAATCTTATCTAATAGAGTGCCTGCTCTCACACTTTTAATCGCACACACTCGATACAAACGAACCTGTTTTAAACTATCTTATGATGTCTATTTTGTAGATTAAACCTTGAGCTTCAACATGCTTTTTTTAAATTTGCTTTAGGAGGCATGGAAAAAAAATTATTTGAAAAATAATAACGTGTTCCATATGGGGAATGACCGGCACCTTAGGGTGGGGCGCTACTAGCACGGGAGTTCTCTATATTATCGGTGAGCTCCGACCATAAACAGATTTCCTAACCTTATCCAGACATGTAAACATTGTGATACACAGTGATATAAAAGGCGATTTAGTTTTTAAGATGCTTATTGTTTAAGTAAATTTTACAAATAGTGCATCACTACAAATAAAAACTTTTCGAGGGAACTGGAATGAGAACCAAATGTCACTCAAAAATCAAAACTATAATTCCAAAGTTACAACTTTAATGTAATTTAAAACATTTGTAATATGTATACATGTATACATGCTCTCGTCATTTTTTTATTTTAATTTTATGTGTACTCAATAAAAAAAAAAAAACTTTTTTTTCATAATTCATTTTACGAGTTACCCTAACAAATCATCATGATTTATCAGGCTAGTGGTACCCCACCCCCTGCTAGAAGTACCTCACTATGGGGCACTACTAGCAGTTTTTAGAGGTTTGGTTTGTGCCGTTCTTAAACAAAAAGTTTCATTATTTTTATAAAATTTGCTTGAGTTGTGATGACTAGATTCAATTTTCTTTAAAAATCTATTTTTTCGGTTAATCTTACTTTAAAATTAAAGCTGTAATTAACTGTTAAAGAAAAGGTGTCCGTCATTCTCCGGTCTACCCTATAAATATTTTTAACTAAAGTTTAGGGGGTCAGAGACGCTGGAGGTACAGCCTATTGGGTGTAATTAAATTTTTAATAAAAATGCAAGTTGCACTACTACAGCTCAATCCGAATAAAAACTAAATGTTATTTATACCGAATCATTATTTCTTACAGGTCGTATGGATTCACGTTGGCAGACAAATGCTTGTGTCGGTGCACAAGCACGTGGTGGCGAAGATTCCGAGGTTTTCCGTAACAAATGACAATCACAAAACATGGCAGCTGCACATTAAAGCTGTCGAGCGCCAGGATCGAGGTTTCTACATGTGCCAGGTCAACACAAAACCGATGATTAGTCAAATTGGCTTCCTCGAAGTCGTAGGTTAGTCTGATACAATAATTTGTATTTTTTTACAGCAGTTAGTCAGTAAAATAAATTTTACAATACCGTTAATTTAATAGCACATTAGACCTTGTACTGTTATTACTTAAAATCAAGAATTTTCTATCCAAAGCTCAGCTTTTGATTGAGTTCGGTTTCGATTCAAATGATAAGAACAATTACTGGACGTTTGATTAACTATAAGATATCTCAGAACTACAAATGGTTTACCAAACAATTTTAGTGTATGATCAGTAACTGTTGTTTATCACAGGAATCGTACTGCAAAAAACTTGTCAAGTACTAATCCCGGACTTAGATAAAACTTGTGAATCCGTTTGTTCGAGTTAAAAAATGAAACGGGTCACAGTACCAAAGTCTGACACTTTCTGCTCTAAATTCGTTAAATGTTAAATGATATATAATACAGATCATATAATATACATGAAATACTTTTACATTGGCCCCAATAAAATATTTTAAAATCTTTCCCTTTTCAAGCATCAAAAAAAATGAACACGTTCATCCCACAAGATAGAAGGTTTTTTTAATCTGGAATTTTCGCTATTCAATTACGTATATTTATAATTTGCACAAAATTTGCAGGGATGAAAATCAAAAAATACATTTTTTGACTTGAAACTGACATAAATTTAAAATAAAAATTGTGAAAAAAAATTTAACCCCTACACAGTCTTCTATCGCTTTTATTTATAAACAGTTTAAGTTTAGATGCGGCCTGACAAACATTCTGACTTGGACAAAAAAAAATTTCTGGGTCAAAGATCAATTCCATTGTATACTTGATTATTTAAAATGCGTATAAAACTCTTTTTTTTGTGAACAAAACAAGTCAATTGATTTATGGAAGAACACTCATACGTTAATACAAATGCACAATGATTTAATAAGTTAAAACAATAAAATAAGACGCTCGCGCTACAACCAAACATGCTGAACATTCATAACTCATTATAAAAAGCCACCTGAGTCTTGATCGTGATTTACTTACAATTGAGTTAGTGACAGCATTGCGTTCTTGTTAAGCAGGAATAAAGAAATACTAAGTGCATGGCTTTCAAATTGTTTTGTCCTAAAAAAGCGGTTTGACTGATGAATGCGTGCAAATACTCAACGAAAATTAAAGAGAGAGAAAAACTAGAGAAAAGAAAAAGCGAACTCTCTTTTTAAAGACAAGAAAAGATGGCAGTAAGAAGACAAGAGCTGCACATAACCTGGTATATCTGTACACATGTAAATGATAATAATACTGATTACTGCTGCACATCTTCTTATATTAGGAATCATATGAGTATACCAGATTAAACCTTCGTTTGAAAAAAAATTTTATTTACTCTGTGGAAACGAAAAATTCACTGTTTCATACAAAAGAAATACTTGCTAAAGTGAGGAACAAAATATTTAGATCTTTCTTCCCATTCCTTAATATGCCTTAAGTATTGTGTAAAATTTCTCCGTAAAAAGTACTTGTCAAAACAACATTTATTTGAATTTAGTGATTAAAAAAAAAGTATCTTAATCAAATGTACCAAAAATTTTAGTAAAAATATGTGTCATTCATAAGAATAATAGTATTTTTTTATTACTAATTTTTGTACAATGCCTATCTGTACGTATTTTTGAATTCAGTGTCATCTTAAGAATTCATTGGGTAATTTTTTAGTGTTTAGAGCGTAAATTTTTTTTTGCTCATCAGGACTCAAGAACATAAATGCAGCTATTTACATTTTAAAGGTTACTGACTAAAACAACTTTGTTTTTTTTTTAAATGGTTATCAACTGCAGTTATTGTTCACCACATATGGTGAAAACATTTAAATTTGATTTTAAAAATAATTTTATTTTATAGAACATAAATTGAGCTTACTTTTAACGTTAAATTATTCTCATTGGCGTATTAGTAGTTTTGTTGTTAGTAATGAAAAGTTTTATTTATTAGTTTTTTTCAGCTGATAACTTAAACTAGATATTTATAATATTATTTATGTTACTTGAGACTACAGAGAACTGTTCGAGAAATAATGCTTGGCTAAAAATAAAAAGCTTCTATTAAAAAAAAAAGATCTTAGGAATCAGTGACAAAAGTGCTTAAACTACCGTATGTCGCTTGCACGATACTGACTTAGCAGTAGGTACTACAGCAAAAAATGCTGCACGTAGCAGCTGCACCGCAGTTCAGCTAGTCAAATACTTAAAGACGATGATATATGTACATAATATGTGGCGGTACATATCTTTAGTTTTATACAAATCTAAAGCATTTGATAAAATTATGTTACATTTCAGTGTAAATATTTGGTAATTTAATTTTACAGTTTATCAAAACGTCACTTTTTTTGCTGTAACTTCTATACATTCTAAAGTATTTACTAAAAATTGTAAGATGTTCTTAGGCATGACTGCTCAACGGACGTACCTTATTTTTGTTAGCAGTTTTGCTAATAGCAAATCAAGTTTACTCTCTCTACAATTTCAAAGATATGGAAACTTTCTTTGTTGACGAGTGAAAAAATGTGATTTTTACGATTCAGAATTAAAACTTAAAAATCATGCGAAGCGTTTCTGGTGATTTGATTGTAAAATTTGAAATTAATATTAAATAATGTTCTTAAACATAAGAAACGGTAGAATATTGTTGAAAGTTAGTTTACTGATTAATCATGATTAATTCACACTTAAACAATTGAGCTCAATAGATGTTATATAATTATAAAGGATATTGATGCTGAAATAAAAAAAAAATGTTCAATTGTAGTGAAAATAAATCTTTATATGATGTTGCTCTGGGTACGTTAAATAAAAAAATAATCGATCATACCAGCATCACCTATACGCACCTTTAAAAATCAACTTCTAATCAAACGATGGATGTATAAGTTTTTAAAGTTTTATCTTTAGGCACACATATTTTATTCTTATTATTTTTATTTCCAAACATTTCATTACAAATTAGTATTTTGTTGTAATTGTAAATATTTATCGATCATTCTAATAGTTGTTAGATGTACATTATTTTTTATAACACATTCTGAATAACAGCGGAAAACTATGAGAGTGTATGTTAAAAAATTAAGCTTTTTTTAAAACCAAATTAAAGAACTGTATTTGAAATGTTACATTTAAACAAAATAAACAGCAAAACAGAGCTGCAGAAGGCTTTGTGCCTAAGAATTAGCAGTAGTTTTTACTCAGAAATTTCGTAAGGAACTTGAGGTATTTTGTAGGATGGAAAAAATGATGAAAATGATTGAAAATGTTACAGTGGCGTATGATAATATTATAAACAACGTTTCGAGCATATATTTGAATTATTCGTAAAAAAAGTTATCTCGAAGAAATACAAACTCAAAAAAACTAAATAGACAAAGGAAAAGTTGAACGCTTGGCGTTAAACAAAATTTTGAGAAAAGTGACAAAAAATATACACAAAGTGTATATAACATTTGTATGTATATAACATTTCTCAGGCGATCTAGTAAACGTTCAATTGAAAAGACTAATGTTAAGAAAATATTGTTCAGAATATGCGAATATACTGTGAAACGTGATATGTGTTGCAGTACCACCCAATATATTGGACAAGGAGTCATCACCAAGTAATATAGCCGTTCGTGAGCACCAGAATGTCACCCTAACTTGCAAAGCTGAGGGACACCCAGAACCCAAGCTCAAGTGGAGACGTGAGGACAACCAGGGCATTTCTGTAGATCGTCGGACTAAAGGTAACGTATTGTTTTATATGCACATTCACTGAATTTATTTTTTTTGTTAACACTTTTCTTATTCGCTTGACGATATATATTGTAAGATAAGCTTCTTTTTTCAAGCTTAAATAGATAAATAAGTTTTATAACAAAAATATCATTCAATTAGATGAAAATATCATTGAACATGGTGAAATTTATCGATTCATAGTCAGTAACAGGGCAACGAACGTATATCTTCCAAAAAATCCGTAAAACAGCACAAAATCTAAAAAAGAATACACACAGCACAAAGAATACAAGCAACATATTTTTCAAGGTCATTATATTCGTGAAGCAATTAAACCAATCCAGCCCACAATCACAAGCCACAAGTAATTGGGATGGATTATACAATACTGAGTTTACTTAATCATTCGTCCATTCTCAGATTAGCTGTGATTTATGTACGAAGTTGGGGCTAGCAAGTCACCTTTATAGCTTAAGAAAAAAGGCTGTAAGTGTCGGCAGCGTGTCTTTTTAAATATTGCAGAGGTTAATCAGCCTTCTTAAGTACTAAAAAGCTGATGTCTCAAAAGTATTCACTTTAAGCTCTACCTTGGAGGAGCAAGCTTGCAAGCTCGAGCTAAGAGGATTATGCGCGCGAGGTTTCAGCTCGATTGATTTTGACGATAGTCTAGTGATACACAGTGTATTCTAGCACCAAATCTAATTATTGGTTGTTAATCGATAGTAATGGAGCTGGTGTCGCTACGAGAGCTATTTTAGGTTTCTTTCATTCCCGTTCAGTTTTTAAATGAAGCAGACGAAGCTTATTCAAAAGAAAATAGGGCTGATCCGTAAATGGATATTTATTTACGTCAAATCATTCACTTTGCTCAGGCAATCTGATATAAAGATAAGCTGGATGATTTACTTAAATTTATTTCTATTTTTTCGTCATAAGGGTAAGATCATACAAGAGTAAATTTCATTTTAATAATGCACCATGTATCAGGAGACCAAACAACAATTAACTTTTTTTTAAAGCCTGCAAACAAGTACATTTTTTTCTTTTAATCAGCCGAGTCTGCATCAGAGTAAGAGGTAACGTAAGCTTTGCGTATGAGTTTGTGAGCTTAACCAAATCGAAGTGAGTACATTTGTTATAAAACAACGGTTAATTATATCCACTTTTGGCTGACATTATTAATGACTCCAGTGACATTTTTTATTTTGAGCCTTAAAATTCGTCTTTCTGAAACTCAAACACACAGATGTGGAACATTTTTTATTCAATTGTAGCAACTGTTAAATTACAATTGCACCAAATGCAATGGTGTCATTTGAAGTATAAGGTACTCCCCGAATTCATAATTATTTAATACAATATTCTTTTAAATTAAGTTGTTGAAGAATACAAGGGTGTAATATTCTATTTCTTATACTTATCCTTGTAAGTCTTTGGTAGCAATATTCTTTAACAAATTTATCAAAGTACGAAACAGTTTGTGCTATCTTTAAAAAAATTTAATAACTTCGTCCCAACTCTCATTTCTACGTGCTAGATTTCAATTTTAATATACGAAAATAAGATGAATGGCAGAGAAAGAAGATTCAATACATCCAGGATCTGTGCAGCCAAGTGATTAATTCCAAGTAAAGAACAATGTTGGAACGAAGTATCATGTGCCTCAACGATAAATTCAATATTCTTTGAGAATTAAATTAAATCAAATCATGAAATACAAAAATTCAGTCAGTCAGTGTAGTCAGTCAGGGCAGCAGTTGAAACAGTGTTACGACTTAAAAAGTTGTATATCCCAAAACGTATTTTAATACGAAGATTAACCAAAGTGGTATAACACAACTAGTTATTTTGGTACTTTTTTGTTAAGAAAACTAACAACTGTGCGGTCCGTGCACAACTCATCCATGGTGTGTACAGCATTAGCTAGCAAAGAAGTACAAAATAAGACAAGTCTTGCACTTGTATATGTTTCCAATAATATCGAATATGAAAAATTCGTTTACACATTTACCCATTTGCTTAGTTATGTTTGTCAAAATTCGTATACTAATCGTAACAAAATAAATTACTTGTTTGAAAAAAATACTTCTTTAACTTTTACATGAACAATATAACTATTAAGATAGAGATTGTCAACGCTCAACGTCACACTGAAGTAAAACAATTTGCATATGATTTACATTTAAAATTAATTTACTAAGTATCGTAATATCACGTCGTTAATAAATTAAGTAACTTCAACGCCCTTTATCTCTAAGTAAACAGTGAATAAAATCACTAGAAGGATTTTTTTTCAAAATAATTTTTGTTCGTTTATAATAAAATATCAAATTAAAAGCATTATTTGAACCTATACTTATGTTTGCAAAGTTGCTTGCTTGCGATTTATATCGTTTTGCAACTTGTGTCAGCAACTGAAATTTAAATTAAAAAATTTTGCAATTGTCTACCTTCAAAATTTGTGTAACTGCATTAGGTGAATATTGTTAAGCATTAAAATGACATTAAAATAACTAATTTATACCTAATTGGTAGCGCAGGAAATGTATTATTATATTATTGTATGTATTAATATATTATTGTATTATTTCAGTTTGTACCTTTTTCGTCATTTTTGCTTGTTTAAGCCATGAAACTATGGTTTTTTTTAAATGTCAAATCCTCATGAAAAATTAGTATTGAAACAATGTTCACTTAAAACGCTTTTCTTTAAAAACAATACACTCTCAGTTTTTAGTAAATACCAGAAAAAGCAAAAAAAAGAACTATGTTGAAATAATATAAGACAGTTTAAATGATCCTACTGAATAAAAAAGATTTTTGATATTGTTTATTACACAAAAAATCAAAACTACGAGCTCTAAATCATGTAAAATCGACGAAGTCATGTGACAGGATTGTTATTGACATAAATATGTATACACATCGACCGACTTCTTCTTTGATAATAATTTCGTCATTTTTACACTATAAAAAATGGTGTTTGTTACTCGGCTTGAGCAAAACTTGTACTTTTACCGATATCAATTTTTTTTCAATAAGACAGCAAAACTCATTTTATTGTGCATGGACAAACGCATAGGGCCATTAATTTCCGTTAGTAATTTTATTGCAAATCCACTTATACAGGCAATAGCTGAGGTTTTCCTAAAACTCAGTGCACAAACAATTTTTTTTTTTTTTTTTTAATAGTAGTTTCCGAATTTTTAATTGATAAGGTATTATGCATTAAATAAAAATATTTTACCAAATCATTTAATAAATAACGTTTTTTTTGCTAAGCAATAGAATAAGTAAGTTCAAATTTTTATTACTAATGTAACATTTACCTTGATGAAGTTTCAACCTGAGCCTCCTTTTTCTTCGCTTTTAATCTACTCCGATAGTCTTTACACCGCATCGCATTCGTTTTAGCTGTTTTGTTTGTTTCTTTTCTTTTTAAGTGCTTCCGGAAACTTTTTTGATGTTCAGCATTTTTTCTCCTTTCGTTATCATTGTTATCACTGAAACAAAGAAATAATAAACTACAAATTCCAGATTTTAAATAGAGTTAACCAAAGATGAAAAAAACGGAATGTGGCAAAATAATTTAGAGTAAGCATTATAGATTATTTACTTATGTGGTAAATAATTGAATAAATAATAACTTATGTTCATCCGTCAGTTTATTTTACATATTGATGATAATCACTTTTTTTCAGTGACAGTTCGTGTACACAATTTTTTCTGTTTTCGTACTGTTTTAATTAATAACTTTTTCATACAGAATCATTTGTTTGCTATTTTGACTGTTGTGGTAGGTTTAATCGTATGATGCTCCAGAAAAAAGAAACTATTGTTTTTTGACATAAAACAAAAAAAATTTATTTTCTATTTAATGTTTTGAACATGTTTGTTTAAAGTATCAAAAAAAAAATTTTTGATCTTAAAGTTTCAATCAAACAATTTTTTTAGAAAAAAAAATCTTTNCGAAATAAACTCAGTTAATAATTCTTCTAAATGAAGCTTATCAATGATGTCAGAATAAACACACAATAGAGCCATCGAATTGCGCCGATCCTGTATATACTGTTGTTGTCCTTCAGTTACTTTTTAATCGATATGAAACAGAAAAACTCGTTTCATTTTGGAACATGAAGATCCCGGTATCATAATTAAGGAGGCTTCCTCGTGCAAAAATGCCAACCCATGTCGTAGTTCTACAAGTCTCAAAATATAAAACCTTACATGACGTTCGTGCTTATAATACTTTCCAGAAGTAAAATTAATTAATATTTTTAATTCAATAGGTCAAGTAAAGTTAGGGTAAATAATTAAGCGTTATGATTTCCCCTAAAAAATTTTTTAAATTATTTTAATTCATCAATATTAGCACTATTACGTAAGTTTTTTAAATTCTTTTTTAATTAACGTTGTTTTTCTAAGTCCTTTGTAAAATTGAATTATTTTATCCTTTAATTATTTTATCAGAGTAATTCAAGTAAAATACGCTAATATATCTATCTAAATTATTTCATTTTTCAACGCATGTTATATCGCAAAAATAGTATTAAAAGTAGAAGAATTGATTTTTGAGTAGAAATTAAAAATATACCGCTAATTACTTAAATTTTCATATTCTTTTGCATGAAAACTGTACGCGCTTCTGCCAAGCTACGAGTACAATGTGGCTCCCAAATTTCCCCCGTACTATCGGAAGTAAACTCAGTATCCTAAGTTTTTCTGCAATTATCTCAATTGGAATTTTGACTACTCATTTTCTTTAGAATGCTATTGGAAAGATGAAATTTCAATCCATAAGACCTGTATGTAATCTCGTTGAGGATACCTGACCCTTTAATATAAATTTGCGATTGATCGGTTTTTAGTTTACTGTCAGCATGCACAATAGCTGAGCTAACTTTACTTCCTGATATCTCAAAATTCATGGTGTAATCAAAAAAATCACAGGACTAAGTTGTCTTCTGATTTTTCGTGCTTCTTTTTTATTTTAGGATCAATTAATAAA